AAATTCGTACGAATGTAGAATATTTGATACCCTTTCTGATGATGACAATTTAATTCATGCATTGAAAATCCCATGAGCGGCTGTGTATGTGTTATGTAATTTTTTCTCAATTTTGCGTTCTCAGAAAAGTATCTAATCTGTAGAGTGTCGCGATTTGGGGTCTGATGCGAGTAGAAGAATTGTAAAAATCAACAATAGTGTGATTCACTTATTCGTTCAATTATCTTACCAAATTACATCCCATTTTTTTTTTGGGTCGAAGTAAACGTGCTGGAATTCATAATTCGAGTTTTGCTGGAAGTGCTCCGGTGTTGATAAGTGGATCACACTGTATACATATACCCTGGTTATATCCAAAATAACTATAAATATTCAGAAATTATTCCTTTTCGAATATTCATTCAGTTTCAATTATTCGAAATATCCACAGACCATTCGATTGGGAGTATTCCGAGGAGTATTCAAAATCATAGAAAATTCCTAGCAAGACCAGTTTCAAATGGCCAAAATTTTTTTTCTATTGTGAATATTCTCATTATATATTTCACTCAATATCAGAATATTCTATGATTATTTGTTTTTAGATCGAGTAATTCTGCTTCGAATATTCTTTGCAGGAACAGTTGCGAATCTCAAAATATTGAGAATAAATCTGGAAATTCCGAGACTCTGCTGAAAATAAATACATTATTGCTAATACGCCGTTGTGAAGCCAATTTTCATTATGACTTTTTTTGGCCGATCCAAATCATAATGGGCCTATATCACAAAAAAAAAATGTATTTCATAATTCGATAGAACTCACCCAAACAAGCTCACCACCGCAAACCGTTGCTTGCTGTGAGCTTCCTACGTTTTATAAAAAATTATTGAAATCCCCGATTTTTCGGACCTCTGAAAACGAGGCGATGATGTGACGTCAAAACCCTAATACTGAAACAAGACTATTCCATACAGAGATGAATGATACATGATTTCTGACAGAGTGAATTAGCGCGAGATCACAGTTGAAAGAATAATATATCAGTTGCCTCAGTCTCCGTCGGGCGTTTGGTATTTTCTTTTAACTATAGCGAGATGAGGTTTCTACGTCATAAGAGGGTCCGTTTTCAGAAGGTACTATCATTTATGTCCAAAAATAAAACATTCCAGTTAATTTTTCGATCGAATTATGTCGTCAATCATTATTTATGTATAAAAGGATCATTATAAACATGGCACGGCAACGCACGGCTGTGAATCATGGGTATTAACGGAACAAGAAAAGAGCAAAATTAGAGCAACAGAAATGAAGTATCTGAGAAGAGTGAAAGGCATTACAAGGAGAGAAAGAATCAGAAATGTAGTAATAAGAGAAGAATTGGAAATAGAATCGATAGAAGAATATATTGAGAAAAAACAACTAGCGTGGTGGGGACATCTACAAAGAATGAAAAACGGTACACAGGTCAAAAGGATATGGGAGTCCAAAGCTCAAGGGAAAAGGAAAGTAGGGCGACCAATACAGACGTGGGACAATGTTGTTGGAAAAATTCTGAAGAAGAGAAGAAAAACGTGGCCAGAAGCTAAGGACTTAGCACAAGAAAGAAAGGAATGGAAGAAATTTATAAACAATAATTATTATTAATGTACTGAAACATGCACCCTTACACCCTATGGGTAAAAAGGGATATGATTATATATATATATATATAAACATGGTTTGGGTTTAAAGTTCTACTAAGGTGTACACGCCTTTAAAAGTGTGATAACAGAACAGCATAGGGGTCGATTGATTTTGGTGTGTTCTAAAACAGTGAATAAAAAACTCCCTTCGCAAAGTGAAGATCGAATTTGTCACACCCTGTAACGTTAATTTGATTTCAAAAGGATTACTGTCATTCATTATCGAGTATTATCTTCGTGTTCCCATGGTATTATCATACCTGAAAATAATTTAGAATTCATTGTTAGATTCCGAAGTTTTGCGCAGCAGAGCACGAATCTATATGAAATATTCATTATTCTTGGTTATTCTATCTAAAACCGATAATTTGCATAATTCCGAGTTTAAAAGCAGGTTATCAGTCGTTTTTCGAGATTTTTGAATGGTAAGTATACCGTTAAACAATGAGCAGATCCAAATCTGAATGATTATACGACTTTTACTCAGTTTGGCGGTTAGGTAATAAAAAAGCGATAATATTGGTTATTATCACACAATACAGGGGATTACGTCTATTGCGTTGAGAAAGATAAGATAATAGTGGGAGAGAAATATAACCTTATGACTTGAAAACGAAGAACACACTATACTATAGATTATGAAGTCATAAGAATGACTGTTGTCGAGAAATATGAGTTGATTTCTATGGGGACTGGAGCATCGTATAGCAAAGTATTAATCAAAAATTTCAAGAAACCATCAAAATAGTATGATACTCATTGAGTATGATAAAATGTTGTTGTGGTGTTATCTGATGTATGTAGTGACTGGCGTTTATTTTACTAAAGGTTTGGTAATCAATACCGACTATTCCTCTGAGTGTTGGGCAATAAATTCCAGTGCTTTGCCGTTCTTAAACACACTAATTTTGATAAAGAGCCGTATCGAAATAGTAATTTTCCCAACAAGTGCGGAAAGTGATTCTTTCCCGCACGCGACTGCCGTTGACACGAACACGCGAAGCGGAGCTCGGGCAAGCAGTCGAGTGCGGGAAAGACACTTTGCGCATGAGTTAGGAACAATATTTTTTCTACAAGCGTAGGAAATTGATTGATTTGTTCAATTAATTATCCATGCATATAGGAACAACTTACGAGAGAAATATATTTTCTATCTACTGATCATTAGTAATATCTATTGTGAACTTACAGTTTGACGCATTATGTATAGGTTCATTGCAGAAGCCAGCAGGCCCATAAGGTGTTTGATCTCTACGTTTCAGACACTTCTAGGAATTGACTCAAAAGTACTTCTTCTTTATTCGGTATTTTCATTTCTTTATTGTTGCACCATTCAATAAAACGCGTGTATAGCTTCTCATACCTCTCTCAAGACTTCGTTGGCAATAACGCATCTGTATCCCTATAGCTGGAAGTTTTTGTTCGCACATTGTGGCAAACCAACTGGGTCGAAAATGACAGTAACGCTGTGTCTGTCACTTCGATAGGGGGATTTTTATAATAATAAATTTTTATTTTTCAATATTTCTTAATTTTCACAATGAATAGTGCAATTTGATGGATGATTCTGAACATACATACTTAATACTGCAACAAACGAACTCAAACTCTCATATTCCATCACCTACCACTTATATTTTGCCATATTATCATGCCTTTGTTTTTCCCGCACTAGTGTGGGAAAAATGGTCCGGCAATGTTGCGGGAAAATGACACTTCCCAAACTAAATTGCGTGCGGGTATAGGGTGAATCACGCACGCTTGTAGAAAGAATAATGAATCTAATTATGAAAAAATATATTCTCTATAGGTAACATTTATAGAAGAATATAGTAATTCAATAATTTTTTTCTAGAATCAATTAAAAATGAATTGATGATTATTTTTCGATGAATCGAATAGTTCCATTGAACATATAATATATTTTCACTCCATTGTATTTTGTAAGGCAAATTGAACACCTGAAATTGTCTCCAAACAGTTGTTTCAAAATACTGGTATAATGGATTATTTCCTGTTAGTGATTGCAACAACTTTATGCTAACGAACTACATGGTTTTTTAAAGCGATTGAATAAGTATAGTTCTACAAGTGAATTTGCATTAAACCACCGAACATAAAATAGAAACAATTTCGCAAAGTCTATTACCACAATTGCTCTTAGCAAATTTGAGAAAAAAGTAGGAAACACGTTGGGTACTTATAATGGTCTTTAGAATACACGGCGTGTAAACAAATCGCGACCTCATTTATTGACAACGCCTACAATACAGTTCAATCACATCATAAGAGAAGTAAGTGCGTTTCTTAATCCAAGGTCAAGTTTTTTTATTCGTCATGTTACGTACGCTTGTTACATTCATCACTCTGTAGTTTCAGAACGATTTTTTTGTTATAATAGGTAGCAAAATAGTGAATTGACTGCCACGGCTGATATTTCATTCAGCTGTTTTCAATAGTTGATACCTCGATATTTTCATGTGTACATTCTTATCATAATTTCGCTTGGAAATGTAATAATTCAAGCAGAATTTGCTTCTCCCGAAAACCTCGGTCGTTTGCCTTTTGGGATGATTTCCACGAAATGAAGTACATACACTTACACCACAGTGCACACAATACATTATGGAATTTTTGTTGAAATTAAAAAAACGGCTGCTCCAAGATGGCCGACAAGATTTGATCCGATTCCATTCAAAATTGATAAGTGGGGGTTTTTGAGGTCGGAGATCATGATTTTGTTATTAAAATTTATAAATTCAAGATGGCGGCTTCCAAATAATTTTTTGTTTTTGTATAAATGACGATAACTCCGTTGTTATCAACACAAAACTATTACTGCGACATATCATCTGTAAGAGAAAAAAAAGTTATTTGTAACTAAGTCATTGCTATGACCTACATTTGAAAAACTAAAGTTGGTGCTGATATCTCAAATTCTAGAAGAGTTGGTGTGAATTTCATATTTTTTTCGAAATCAATTTGAAAAACTGCCATGAGAATGTGAAATTCCTATCTGAATATTTTCATAAATAAAGAAGTTACGGAGGAGACAAGAAAATGACCAAAATCTGTTTTTTGCGTATAAAACAAAAACGAATAGATTTCATCAAAATATTTTTTCACATTATAGTTGGTCTTGACAAACTCCACATTTGGTGTCATTCAACCGACCTCGTATCTCTCACCGTTAAAAAGATACCCATGGTGAGCATGGTAAGTGGGACACACTGTAGATTAGTCCACTCGCCTATTTCACCAAAATTGGAGGAGAATTCAAAAAGTTTCGGGTCGATCAATTTGGTAACATTTAATACCCCTGACTTACGACTTACTTCTGGCAATTCGACATATTCGATACCATGTTGGGCAGTTGCATTCGGCTCGATAGTCCAAATTTTCAACTTTCCTCTCTTGAATAGTCCTTCAGTGGGCACCAGGCTTAGGTTGAAAGGTGTTCCGAAAGCTTTCAGTTTCAGGTTTGTCGTACGCGGATTCAGTTCTCTGTTGTCGAAGGGCCTACTGGTTTTGGGATCTAAATCGTCATCTTCTATGAAATTTTCTATATCGCCTGGTATGCTTCTTTTTTTCACGTGTTGCACAGGAACTAAGTCGTATTCTGGTACTGAAAAAAAAAAAGAATATTGTCTACTATACAGTGTGATTCAATTGATGGCTATAAATATAGGATAATGTACCTCAGCACATTTTGAGAAGAAAAGTTCATATGAACATATGCCCTGAACCTCTCATGTTTCGAGCTATTGGGTATTAATATTTTTCTCTATATACGGCTACAACACAAAATTGCTCTTGTTATACGACGCTATACATAGTGGAGTATACTACGGCCTTGCCAAAAATGCTATCTCGGAAACTAAGCGAGATAGAGGTATAGTAACTTTGGAGAAAATGATCCCCATCGAATTTTGAGCAACTTTGGTTTTTGTGTGTGGTCTGTCTGTCTGTCTGTACTTTCTGTTAATCATAAATCGATATATCTCCGGAACCCTTTGACATATCGACTTGAAATTTTGCCATCTTATTGTACTCAAAACTATATTATGTCATTAGAATATGAAGGAAATAGGAAAACTCTAAGGTGATTTTTCCGGGTTTTTTCGATTTTTCACCGGAAGTTTTTTGTGACCACTCTACAAGTCACAAATGAGGTCCGATCGATTTCATTTTTCGTGAAAAAAAACTCTATCAGGGAGAGACGAAGCCTATTGAAATTGAGCAGGGTCGGGAAATTCCAAGTGGGTTTTTCAAGGAGATTTTCCGAAACACACGGTTCGCTTTAAAACGACATATCTCCTGAACCAATAGACTAAGTCCAAATTTGAAAAAGGCACCGTATGCCTTTTTGATGACGCAACAAATTATTATATCACCATTTTTTCGTGCATCCATCGGAAAATGGAAAAACAAATGAAAGTCAAAACATCAAAATTTGAAATCCTTTCAATTCAATATTATCGAAAACACATGGAAAAATCGAAAATTATCAGAAGTGCAAAGTTATCCACTGGAATATTTCCTACAAATTATTACCCATAATTTTCTCTGTAAACCCAATAGTACAGGAAATAAAGTAAAAAATATAAAAAAAAAATTTAACGACCCATAGGCTACCAGGAAGATATATTGAAAAACAAAGATTATCGATAGATGGAGCTCATCGACTTCGACTGAACCATGAAATATTTTTTCCTTTTGTTGATTGGAAGATGGAACAAAAGGGTTGAAAATTTTATTCTCAGATAATTCCAAATATCTCGAAAACAACTGGAAATATCTGGGAATGTTATAGAACCAATATTATTCCTTTTGATAGAATCTACAAAAAATCCGTTTAACATTTTTCTCTGAATTCAATAGTTCGGGAGATACGATGAAAAAACTAAAAAATTTACAAGTTCCTAATCACTTGCCAATAGAAAACAAAACAAAAAACGAAAGACAGTAAAAAAAGCACACTCGATAGTCTTGAATTTTTTTCACATAAACTACGTAACTAGCTAACTCGACTGTCTTTATTTTTCGCCAATAAACTAGGTACCTAGCTCACTCGACTGTCTTGATTTTTCGCCAATAAACTAAGTACATAGCTCACTCGACTGTCTTGATTTCCCACAAAGAAGATATATGTTGGCATTGTTTTAACTCTCTTTTGTTTTTGTTTTTTTAGTCCCTATTGGCAGTCTAGTGGGCTAGGTAGGTAGTTTGTGTGGAAAAATCAAGACAGTCGAATTGGCTAAGTGCGTAGTTTGTGGGAAAAATCTCCAGTCCTCTGAACTTTCATAGCGTCGTATACACATCTTTGGTGCCCAATGATAGTTTCAATATAAACATAATTATGCTCATGATATGGTGCCATGGCCTATACTTCTATCTTACATGAGCAATGATAAAATATCATCTGCTTTATAGCGCCGTATAAATTATCTGACCTCTATACTAATCTAATACCTAATGAAAACTACATCTACACTAATCTGATACCTTTCAAAAACTACGTACCTCACTTGTTTTACTGTGTTCGATACGTCAATGAGGTACTTTGTATGTCATCAATATTATTTCCGTATCACAATGACTCCATTGTGTTATTATTTCAAAAAAATCTCATCGCTCATGGAATGTCAAATGTGAAGAAATACCTGCTCTGTCTAATAGATGAGCATTACTTGACAGGAAATCAGATGGCTACAAGACGAAGAAATTTGAAAATGCCGCTGTTATCTATTATAGCCGTAGAAAAATTATAGTGTATAACTTGCACGGCATGCTAATTTCCTACTCGAATGATTGCAGCATTCGCCTATGGCTCATGCTGCAAACTTCATTCTCGTAGGAAATCACTATATCTTTCCGTGCTCGTTAAACAATATACTATTTTCTTTTCATCATTGATTAAAGAAAGTTCCACAATGTAAAAACTGTCACGTTCATGTGAATACTTGTCAAAATAAGACCGCAACCACGCAACGCAAATATTGATCAAATGTCATTATTTTGAATACAAAATAGGGCACCAGCTAATACTAGTATATATAATTTCGTCATACCACAAATGTATGAAAAATGGTTATTCCACCACTAACCTGAGAAATCACCATTATTCGAGGTTTTCCTCTATTGAGAAGACCCACTTTTCAAACCTAGGTAAATAATGATGAATGGTCAATAGTGCCAATGATATTATGCAATATACACACAGATACCGATGCGTATGCAACAAACGAAAATGATACATTCTTAAAACCAAATAGGTATAGCTGAAACTACAAATCTCATTACAGCTGAAAGCAAATTTTGAAGTATGAAAAATGTTTGGAATAATCCGATCATTATTAGTTCTAATGAAAATAAAACCACCAATACCAAATCATACGTGAGCTGTTACTGTCATGTGTGAATTAAACCAAGAGGCATGAATTCAAAATAACCATGACTTTCGGTACCCAGCAAACACGTAACATCACATGGCAGTTTCGCGAAGTCCCAGATTGCTTATGGAAATATGTTTTCATTTTGATTACGCATATTTGTTCTGAACGTGGTAACTTTGAGACTTTGCTTTGTTAACAAAACATCTGAGATGCAGTGATAATTATTTCAGGATGATAATGAATAACCACAATGTCATTACCACAAAATGTGTTAAAGTCACCATATCAAAAGGAATAAAATGGGGAAGTCTCAGAGAATACTTGATGAATGGGCCCAATGTGATTATTAAAATAGCTATTTGTGTATTTAGAGCGCAAAGTGATAGATTGCCGCTCGACAAAGAAAGTTACCGGTAATCTTTGGAGAGCGGCAATGACACTTTATGCTTGAAATACACACATGATTTTTCTACTACTGCAGCTTTTGGAAATAGCTGCCCTGAATGTATATGAGCGATTGAAATAGTGCTTATTCATTATCCTTTATGTCCAACGACAACCAAAAAAAACCTTAAATGACTGATAAGTCAGAAATGAAAAGCCAACCGAGAATTGAACCCGGACCACCAGCGTGGCAACCTGCGCTTCATACCTCTGAGCCATAGTACAATAAACTCTGCAATCAAATTGAACATAACTTATTGATATGCAATAAAATGAAGATACACTGTTTTTCTGATATTAACATAGAGATTGAATATAGTATAATCTTCCTTTTTCAACAGATATTCTTCATCGTGAGCTTCTTGTAGAAATTTGTTTGTATTTATCTTCAGCGGTGAATGTTTTGGATATTTACGCGATAAGTTACGGATACTTATTAATTTCGATATTATTCTTCACATTCAAGCATGTATAGTTATCGAATATATAGACCAAAGAGTTGATGACTTCAGAGTATTCCATTTCTCACCAAAATAAACCAGTAAAATGTTTTCTGAATACTTATTCACCTTGTTGGAGTGGCACCAAGTCATGAATGTATCATATTGTAATTCATATTTCTTTCTTGATTTCTCCGATACTTAGGAGATTCAAACTTTTTGCTATATCAGGAGGTGTGTTTGATGGTTCACTGTCACTATTTTCCATCATGAAAGAATTGGGGGTTTCCAAGAATAGATGAGTATAGATTACAGCGATGTGCGAGCGTATTTTCAATATTTCCGCTCATGAGCGCAAATGCTGCCAAAGAATGACATTTCTGGGAAAACGTCAACTTTGTGTTGGAATTTGAAAGCGTCAAAGGCTACTTTGTTAAGCGTTTGTAGAAAAAGACATTTATTGTCTCAAAAACTTCCACAGTGACTATACGGAAATATGTTTTATCTGGTCTATATTTCCAAATCTCAATTTGAACAACACAATTAATGATATGCGTACTTGATATCGCGGACATTTCGCTGCAAATTAGAGCGGCAGGAGATGTTTTTTTACATCACATGCGGATTTCAGTTGCATAATTTTGACCAATCAACACAATTTCAGCATTTTTCACCGAGAAAAAAAAAACAATATGCGGAAGTGGAATAATACTTTTTCACGGCCCTTATCAGATGTTTAACTGGGTGATAAACCCCCAATGGCCACATGTAAATTATACTGATATACATCGATTATAGTTCAGGTGGTCCATGAAGAAATGATACCAATTTTTCAGTTTTTTACTTCCTCAAAATTTGAGGACAGCACGAATTTGGTCTCAAATTAGCTGAAGTATGTAACCCTCAGAAATGTTAGTATTATATTTGAATCCTATGATGGTTTTATTTTATACATAATTGAAACAAATGAATAATCGTCCTCTGTAGCTAACTATTCATTGAAGGTCAATTTAAGGCTACAATTACACTTATATATATTATTATTATAGAAGAACGAGGTTGAATTTTTCAAGATTTTCATATTGCAAGACCAACGTCAATGACATCATTTCACATATAGTTGATTACTTTAATGAAATAATGAATTGATGAGCACAAAAACTGTCAGACAGTAATGAAGTAGCCTTGTGGAACAATCAAAATATCGGAACACTTTCTATATACATCGTGTGCCACTTTGAAACGATTGCCGTCTTTATTTCAGTTAAGTCATGTGATCAGATTTTCTGACACAAAAATTATTGTGGGCAGTGCGTTTTTAGCAAATCACAATGTAAAAATTAAAA